CCCGGAAAAACGGTTCCGGTGGGGAACTCGGGGATGTGCTTGGGATCAGAGCCAGGGACTGGTGACATCACTGGGACACCTGTCCCCGGTCCAGGTTCCTCCAAGTCCCATCCAACCTGGCCTTGGACACTTCCAGGGATGGGGCAGCCACAGCTTCTCTGGGAAGTTCATTCCCACCCCTCACCTCCCTCACAGCCAAGAATTCCTTCCCAATGCCCCACCCAAATCTCCCCTGTGGCAGGGGGCAGCCATTCCCTGTGTCCTGACCCTCCAGGCCCTTGCCCAAAGTCCCTCTGCAGTTCCCAATCCCTGGATTGTGCTGGGAGCAGCTCCTGGAGCTCACCTGGGCACTGATCCGGGCCACCAGGAAACTCTTCCTGTTGTCCAGCATGGACTTCTCCAGGAGACACTCCTGTGCCTGGCCCTGCCAGGGACAAGAGGGGGAATGTTCACTGTCCTCAACCCTTGGGACACCCCAGAACTCCAGCAGGACCCCCCAGCTCCAGCCCCTTTCCTGAGAGTTCAAGGAGGCACAGGTAATATCAGTGCCCAGAGAGTCCAGGAATGTCACAGAGCCTTCCCTGACTCCCACTGCTCCTCAAAACATCCTTTCCCCCCTGGAGGGAGCCCAGATCCCACAGACAACTCCCCGTGGGACAATGGGATCCCATCTCCTTGGATCCCCAGGGAACACCCAACCCTGTGGACACAGGTCGAGGTGTCCCAGTGTGCCCAGTGCCCCCAGTTCCCACCAGCATGAGGTTGATGTTGAGGCTGAGGATCTGGTGGCTCATGTCCACGCTGTAGGAATGTGGGAAGTGATCCCGCAGGTAGGTGAAGGCACCAGCAGCACATTGGAAGTGGGTGCAGGAAACCTTCATGCCCTGAGGGGATGGAATTGTTTGGGTTGGGAAAGACTTCCCAGATCATGGAGTTCACCCAATCCCCAGCACTGCCAAGGCCACCACTGCCGATGTCCCCAGGGGCCACATCCACAGGGCTTTGAAATCCCTCCTGGGATGGGGACTCCCCCCTGCCCTGGGCAGCTGTGCCAGGGCTGGGCAGCCCTTCCCAGCAGGAATTTTCCAATATCCAGCCTGAGCCTCCCCTGGCACAGCTGAGGCCGTTCCCTCTCCTCCTGTCCCTTGTTCCCTGGGAGCAGAGCCTGACCCCCCCCGGCTCCCCCCTCCTGTCCCCCTGCAGTCCCCTCTGAAACCCCCCAGCTGCTCCTGGTGCTCCAGTCCCTTCCCCAACTCCCTTCCCTTCCCTGGACACGCTCCAGCTCCTCCATGACCCGTTCCCAGAGCCCCCAGACCTGCCCCCCTGATTCCAGGTGTGTCCTCCCAGTTCCCAGCACAGGGACAGTCCCTGCCCTGTCACCCCCCCGTGGGGCAGAGCTGTCTCTGGGCTCTCTGGGGGCCGTTACCTCCTCAGACACTCTCTTGTCCATGGCTCCCAGCATGGAATGCAGTGCTCCTGTGGGGACAGGGCGGGCTCAGCAGGGCAGGGACCCCCCGACAGCCCCAGGAATGGAGCAGGGAGGTCCAATCCCCTGGGGATGTGGGAGCCAGCAGGTCCCAGGCAGGGAGGGGTCCCGTTCCTCACCCAGGTTGTAGAGAACACAGGCCTGCTCGTACTTGATGTCCTCATGTGTCACCACCTTCCCCGAGAAGATCTCGGTCCTGGGGGAAAAGGGGGTCACAGGACAGGGAACAACCAGGGATTCTCCCAGAAGCAGGATGTGTCAGGAGCCCTGTTCCCCAAGGGTCCCTGGGATCCCCCCCTTCCACCCTGGGGCAGGACACTGATCCTTGAGGGGTCCCCAGGACCTCCCTGTGCCAGGAGCCTGTTCCCCAAGGGGTCCTCCAGAGCCCCCCTGTGCCTCCCTGGCACAGCATCCCATTTCCCAGAGGTTCCCTGGGACTCCACTGTACCACCCCGGGGCAGAACCCCATCCCCTAAGGGTTCCCCAGGACTCCCCTGGGCCAGGACCCCATTCCCCGAGGGCTCCCAGGACCTCCCTGTGCCACCCCAGGGCAGGACATGGTTCCCCACGGGGTCCCTGGGATCCTCCTGTGCCACCCCAGGGCAGGACATGGTTCCCCACGGGGTCCCTGGGATCCTCCTGTGCCACCCCAGGACAGTCTCCATCCCCCGGGGGTTCCCCTCACCATGTGACGGGCACGGCCGCGTCCTGCCCCGCTCCCATGGGAATGCGGCTCTGCAGGAAGTGCAGCTGGCCCAGGTACTTCCGCAGGGTGCTGCAGCCCTCGAAATCCCTGGGAACGCTGACGGCGCTCTGGGAACACGGAGCGGGGTGAGGGGGGGTCGGCAGAGCCCCCCCCCGAGGGCCCCCCCCGGGCAGGTCCCCCCTCACCTGCCGGAGCAGCTCCAGCTTCCGCAGCTCCTCGTTGTAGTTCTCGGGGTTCTCCCCATAATTCTTCAGGACAAACTGCGGGAGGGGAGGGGGGTGAGGGGCCCGGAGACCCCCGGGGGGGCCAGCGGGGGTGGGGGACCCCGGGCTGGGCCAGGGGGGCTCGGGGATGAAAACGCTCCGACCCCCCCGAGGGACGAGTTCCATCCCCACGGGCAAGGGAGGGAATCCGGGAATTGCGGAGGTTGGAAAAGGAAGTTGTGGGAAGGGAGAAGGTCCCCCCGACCCCCGCAGGTGAGGCAGGTTGGGGACACTCCCAGGGCCACCTGCGCCCTGTGTCCCCCCTCAAACCGCGGGGGAGCGAGGCAAACACGGGGGGAACCTCCCCAATCCCCCTGCCCTTCCAGGAATCCCGGCACGGGGAGCGCCGGGCAGGGGCGGGGCTTGTTTACACCTCGTCATTAAGGGATTAATTACTCAGGTCCCCACGGGGGTCACAGGGCCGGGCCGGGCCCCCCCAGACCTCGGGGGGCTCCGGGAAGGGGGGAACCCCCCGCCCTCGTGTCACCTCCTCCCCGCCCGTCCCACCCCGGAGCCCCCCGAGGGTCCCCAGCGGCCCCGCCCCGGTCCCCCCTCTCCGGACCCCCCCGACCCCCTGCGCTGACCCACAGCGCCCCCCGCTTCACGTCCCCGCTGCCCCAGGGACCCCCACACCGACCCCCGCCCCCCCCGTTTGCCCTTCCCTGGGCACCCCCGAGCCTCACAGACCCCAAACACCGCCCCGAGCCTCACAGACCCCAAAAAACCCTGAGCCTCGCAGACCCCAAAGACCCCCAGAGG